CCGAACTTTTTGATCCTCGGGGACGGGGGAATCTGACGGATCCTGACCAGAGCCTGACCGGCCCTGATAAGCCCCCCAAGCCCAACCTGATCAGCCCTCACTAGGCCTGATATGTCGGTCAGGTCTCGCCAGGACCTGATCAGACATATTGGATTTTTCCGACAAATAGAATAATTTAAACATTTCAAAAGACTAACTTGGGAAGACATAAGATGAAGTGCGAAAGACAGAAGACGACAAAGATGCCAGTCGAAAGACATAAGATGGCCCACCAAAGACAAAGACCTTCAAAGGCGCCTTCCAAAGACACAAGATGCCAAAGACAAATCTGCAGTTTTACTGATGCAGCAGAGAGGTTATACCAAACAGGGAAGCAGGAAGATAGGAGAAGGGGGTACATCCTAGTCAAAAGCGGTACATTGATGGGAATAGAGACCAACGCTCAAACGGGTACGAAGCTGTCCGTAGTTGAGGCGTTGATAAGGCGAGTGAATTCTGTTCAACGTTCATGTTTGTACCTCACAATGTCACAGCGCGCAGCGTGTTGACGAGACTGTCGCCGAGGAGATGCAGATGTCTCTATGTACTGGTATCTTTGCCAGCCCCAATAACGAGATGGTTTCATCACATGGCGCGGAACGGCCAGCGCCACACCGCCTCAGCCCGCAAATCTAGGGAGTCACGACAGCTAACGGATGTGTCGAAGGAACTCCAGATGCGCCTCAGTGCTGAGGTGGAGAAACGCCGCGAATCCACTGAGCTGACCAAGGCGCTGAAGGCGGCGAAGAAGGGATCTTCCGAGATTCTCACTGCAAGTTCCAGCGGGCGAGTCAAAACAGCGCCGGCTCGATCAGGTAAAATCTATTCTCGTCCTAACACCCCGTTAATAATTGCTACAACAGTGCCGGGGCACTTACCCTCCACAATGCCGTCAGAAAACACTACACTATTTCCCACCACGCACTGTTCGGAGCCGATGTCCGCATTCATCCCGCCTCAACCCGCGCCCGATTTCTCAGAGTTCTTCATGCCCTCATATGATGCGCTCCCCTTTGGTGCCCTGACAGCCCCCCCGGCGCTAGAGTTCCCGCCGACCATCTCAAATATAGCGCCCATGGAGTTATCCGGGATTGATTTCAGCACTTTCGACATAGACGTGTTCTTCGGTTTCGATCTGACCTTCATTACGTCGATCCGCAGCCGGATTATACGAACTCGTTCGCACCATTTTTCCCGACCGATCTCGGTATCCATCGCTCTCTCCGACCATATTATTCTTGGGCTAATATTAATACTTTACAGAATCACATCCGCTCTCTTTGACAGATGCAGCTTTTAATAATTTACCTCTTCTCCCTCCGCCGCCACCCCAGTCTCCCCCGCCAGCCGCCCCGCCCTTTGAAAAATTGTCAGAGGCAGGTCCCAGTGCACCCAAAGCAAGGCGGTCTCGACAAGAAGTTGATGAAGCCAATATACTCACCTCCACGCGTTCCAGAGAGCCCACAGAGAAGCGCAGGGCCACTGAAGGGGATCCCTCAGACCGTTCGCAAAAGAAGGGAAAGCAGCGGGTATGACTTGTTGCTTGATATCCGGCGCACTAACTAACTCGCGATTTCAGGCGTAGAACTTCCACTCGTAGTATCAATTTTTGTAGTCAATTCAAGCTGTTCTTTCCGAGATGTGAACAGATTGAGCAATTTCAATGGTGAGAGCGCTCAGACATGGCATCTGTCAATACTAATGGGATGCCGCAGCATGTACCGTGTTTGAGCCCAGGGGCGGTACATTGTCGGCAAATGTGCCAGGTTTGCGGTGATGTACCGTGGATGGGGCCGAATGTACCGGGCATGGCATCTACCTGCCGGTCGAGTTTGGTCAATCCCGTTCAGCAGACGGTGTCCGTTTGAGCCTGCAGGATCTTGGATTTGCTGGACAAATGCTGGTTCTGGGTTTTGGGCCAATGAAAACGCAGCGCCGAGGTATTGACCCAGTCCTCCGCGACTTCAAGATCTTGAATAGACGGCGAACAGGGCCTCGGTGCGCGGTGATTGAATCAGTTCAATTGAAGTCGAAATCTCGAGTGTTTTGCCTCATGCACTGCGAAGGTCGGGAATGAATGATATTCATTGCAGCTATAAGACAACTGCCGAGTGAGTTGCAGTGCCGAGAATTGTGGAGGAGCTGAAGCGCAGAAATAATGGAATGACCAGAGTAGAGCAGGACTTAGTCTCTCTAGAAAGACGCTACAACGTAAACACGCTCGTTGTAACTTTGATTTTAACGACTTGAACGACTCGGGCTTCTGTTTCGAGCTCGGTGGGGTATTAGACATGAGGTCCTTGCCAAGGATACAACCACGGGGAATAAAAAATGTTCCATGTTGCTTGGACCAAGGCCCTCGGGGTGATAAAAGCCACCATAGAATCAGTCAAGGATCCAGAGAATAGTGTTGACATTGAAGTCCGGGGCAACAACTGTCGGAAGCAGATAGTACCTTGCAATTGATTCGACCAAGGAATTCGAAGGCAAAGAATGTATTGGGTCTCAAGAGCGTACTTCAAGGGAAATCAATCACCGTGTGCAGGAGACATAACACTGCGTTGATTCGTGGTTCAACCTCGATGGGGCATTGGAGAATTGTACAGGTTCAAATTCGGCCCCTCCAGCGGAAGCCAAGCATGGATTGTCCCTGCGCCGGACACATGAACGCGAAAAGGAGAATCCAGGGAGTACGAAGGATGTCCAGGTTGACGGATGTCCAGGACGCTGCTGCGAACGTAAAAATTGATGAGAATCTGAGGCCGGTGGTGAATACAAAGAACACGATATGGGAGAGGATATGAAATGAGGGTTCGTTCGTATGCCACGGCACAACGCTCAGGTTGGAAATTTCAGCGCTGTGAGGGAGCGCCTCTGGCCTCGCGCCGAGGCAGACTGAATGAAGAGGAGACTCGAGATTGAACCAGATAGCAGCGAATAGCAGGTATCCATGTTTCGACCCGCGAAGCAAATTGCTAGCAATTTCTCATGGGTCTACACATATCTGTGAGATTCTCCGGCGTATCCCTTCTTTCTTCTCCGCGCTGGTTCTGTACTCTTCCGTTATGGTTTGCGGGACGCGTGCGGCGCGATCCAGATATCCTCGGGACGCAACCCCCCGCTACTGCGTCCACGCAATATAGAATGAATGGCAACGCGCTCACGCACAAGAAATGAGCGGGAATGGTCGGGTTAAAAATAGGTCCTCGATTAAATATGCGGCGGAAGCGGATGAATTTCGTCGGCCTCGTGAATGATCAGTGCGCTGGTTGGCAGCCATGAGGATAATGTACCAGGGAAGACAGAGCCAATATGATCCGATGGGGTGCACCAAAGATGATGCAAATCGTTGGCAAATCGCAAACCAGGAGCGGCGGTAGATAGTTTGTAGTCGAGCAGCGGAGGAGGGTAAAAAAACAGCGGGACTTGAGATCGGACACAAGCAGAGCCATAGGGAAGCGAGAGGACTCCGAGTGCCCGAGATGAAGGTGCAGTGGCGATGGCAGCGAAATTAAACACTGCCACAACAAGGGCAAACAGCGGCGGGCCTCCAATGCCCTTACCCGTCGCGCACTTCGCGCTGCCCACCGAGCTTCTCTTCAACATCCTTGCTCATGTCCTAGGTCCCGCACACCTCCCACCGCTCCCCGCTCCCGTTCCTGACTTCTTTTGCAGCGCACAGCGTGCACATGGTCGTCGTCTCGCCGCGCGATGTCGAGTGGCACCTCGGCGCGCACCACACGCTCTCGGCCGTCTGCTTTGCCTTCCGCGAGATCGTGCGGGGCATCTCGACCAAGGCTTTCCAGTTCGCGGGGGAGGACTCGGAGGGGTGCGTATCCCGCGATTAATTCGGTGCTGCCGCTGACCTGCACGCAGCCTCGCGCCGCACGTCCTCAACCACCTCACCGCCCTGCGCGCGCGAGGCGCCGTCATCCGCCCCGTGCCCCCCGGCCCCGCCCCCGCCATCTGCCCCCTCGACCCCGCCGCGCCGCAGCTCGTGCAGTGCTACTCCTTCTACATCGCGATCGTCTACCTCCGCATGCAGGCCGCGCGCAGTACGCCCGCGGTCTACACGAGCATGAGCGCGGCCATCGTCGCCGCAGTGCGCACCCGGGCGAAGGTGCTGTCCACCCGCGTCGAGCCGCGCGGCGCGGCGGTGCTGAGCGCCGCGACGGCGGACGAGGCGGCGCTGTCGCGGATCGGGGGCGCGGTGGTGGGGCGGTGCGGGGTGCTTGCGAGTGTGCTGGATGAGCTTGCCGCGCAGCAAGACTCGAAGCTTACGCTGGCTTCTGAACACGACGAGGAGCCGGCGCAGGACGCGGAGGCGTTGAAAACGAAAGTAGAACACGCCCTCCGCGACATTGCTGCCGCCGACGCCGAGTTCCGCGCACTCGTCGACGCCAACACGACGCCGATCCCCTGCTGCTCCCCCGCCTGGCTCGCGCAGCTGCCCGACGTTGCCGCGACGCTCGAGCGTCTGTGCGCGGCGCCTGCGCTCGTCAGTGACGATGCGCGCGCGGTCCTGGGGACGCTCGTTGAGCGGTGGGCGTTGCCGTCGGAGAGTTCGGGTGCGGACGCGCCGCCGCTACACGTCCTTCACCCAGCGGCGGGCTGACGTTCTCTTCTGACTCTGATCCAGCTCTGATCCTTTGCTTGTCTCATACCGTTTCCTCGCAATGATAATTGTATCCATACATTATACTCAAACTTCGGCCCTGGACCCGCACCCGTTTCCGCTGTAGCTGTTCGCTAGAAATTAGAATGGGTTCGTGATCCCGCCCTCTCCGCCGTTCTCCTCTCCTCGCTTGTCCTTGTTCTGCTGTTGGCGCCGTCGCGCATTCGCTTGCGGCGAGCCGGTCAAAGTCTCAGATCAGGCATATACTGTAAAGGCTGGAAAACGACTGCGTGCATTCCAGGCAGTCGGATGATGCATGATTTCTAGCCGCTCAGCGGGGTATTGAGCCTTCGTGGGGCAGGCTCTTCCTTCAAATTGAGCGTAATGTCAAGATTTTGGGAGAGCCGGTGGTTCGAGTCCACCCGGAGGCACACGACGATCACAGTACTTTTTTTACGTCTGAAGAACGATGCGGACCCCCTCGTATTATAGTAGTATGCCCAGCTCGCAATTTCGTGAGAGCGATTCGGAGCATGTATATAAAAGGGCGGCGGGTACCCGCGTACAATCGGTGACCGAACACCAACCTTAATCCATCTATTTGCATTCACTAAACTTGGAGTGAATAGACAGGAATGCACCACACTGTAACCGTCGCAAGCGGCACTCCAAGCCTTCGTGGGGCAGGCTCTTCCGTCAAATTGTCGGTTAAATCATCGTCGTTGGGGAGAGCGGGTGGTTCGATTCCACCCGAAGGCATCGCCGGATTATAGTGCTTTTTTTGACGTCTGAAGAGCGATGTGGACTACCTAGGAATTTCTTCAAGTGGTTCGGACCATATATATACAAGGGCGGTACCCGCGTACAATCGATGCTGACCAGCCGCACCGAACACCAGCCTTATCCATCTATTTTCAAGCATTTGCATTCGCTCAACTCGGAGTGAATAGGAATGCACCACACTGTATCCGTCGCAAAGGGCCATCCAAGCTTCGTGGGGCAGGCTATTCCGTCAAATTCTGGGATAAGGTGAATCTTCTGGGAGAGCCAGTGGTTCTAATCCACCCGGAGGCATGTTGGTCGAACGCTGCACCTTTTTTTGTCCTGCCTGAGGTTTAACCAGACTTTTTTTCAACCCTTGGCGCCTGCTAAGAGTTTTGGTTTAGCTCTTTGTTGCCAGAGGGCTCGTACTATCGTCTTTGTTTCAATTCAGTCAGCCCGTGTTTCGCGTATCTCAAAGGCAAAGTCGACTGCACACCCATATGCAGCCTCACAGAGACGCATTCCAGCCGTCGTAGGGCAGGCAGGCTCTTTCCCGCCGATTTGAATTGTACGTGCGATTGGGACTCGGGAGAGCCGGCGGTTCGATTCCACCCGGAGGCATACGCGAGGGTGACCGTTGTTTTTGCGTACAGTTGGACGATTCTGCTTGATCCGGGTTTTTGCTAGAGCCTAGAATGGGTTCGTGATTCCGCACTCTCCACTCGTTAATTCTCCTCCCCTCCCCTTATCCTGGAGGAGCTGTCGCGCATTCTCTTTCGACGAGCCGCTCGGTTCAGTCATATAGTTTTAATTTATAGAGACCGGAAAAGGTAAAGGTGAAACGACTGCGTGCATTCCAGGCAGTCGGAATTTCATGCAGCTAGGAGGCGGGCCTGCCTTACACATCGTGATGCATGATATCGAGCCTCCCAGCGGGCTATTGAGCCTTCGTAGGGCAGGCTCTTCCGTCAAATACGGGGATTAGGTGAACCTACTGGGAGAGCCGGTGGTTCGATTCCATCCGGAGGCATACGAGGATGGCCGTTGTTTTTGCGTACAGTTGGAGGATTCTGCTTGATCGGGATTTTCTCAGGCAGCCGACAGGTCACTCGACTCGACTCGGATTCGAAGGTTCTACACGTCCTTCAGCCAGTGGCGGTCTGACGTTGTGCGTTCGCCGTCCTACTTGTCGCGGAATTGGAATTGGGATTGTATTCATCGACATCCATTATACTTTATACTCCTCGGAGTTCAAACTTCAAAATTCGGCCTAAGCTGGGAATAACCGCACGAGTCCCTGCTGATTAACTTTACGCACATCTACTTCAAACTATGCGGTCTTCCAAAACTCTGTAGAGGGCTGGTACAAATGGGTTCACACAGACTTGAATGAAAGCTCGGCGGCGTGGAATGGATCTGAGATGGTCGAACGCAAACGCTACACAGTGGGCGCGAATATTTCCAGGATAGACAACAAAACATCATATAAAACGGACAAGACATCGGCGTCTTGATATATATGGATCACGTCTACTCCTTCGCAGCGAGCGCGATATTTGTGCTGGAATAATAATATTAGCAAGTTTGTGATTCGACGTATCGAACATATCGAAAAATTCAGCTGAGGATCCCGCGCGCGTTGGCGAGGGGCATTAAGAGCCTGGTATGTGGTGTAATTGTAGGGCCACGCGAGTGCTGAGAGTCCAGATCTAAAACGAACCGCTTCAAAGTGAGGAATTGGGGCTCCGCCAGTAGGGTATCGAGTGTGTTCCAAGGAATAGGATCGTCCCCAACTGGAGGCCCATCCACCCGTACTTCAATGGCAATCCATACATGAGATTCGTTGAGAGATTGCAGGACTTCGAGGAGCTCGGCGGGATTCTCGACCCGGAATGCTAAATTCTCGAGGTTGGGCGCGTATTGCAAAATCTGTTCCTTCAGCGCTGCCAAAATAAAAAGATAAGAGGTGATCAGCGGAATGAATCATGTTTCGGGGACCAGAAACTGACTTTGCGGGTATATGAGACCAACCTTCAGGGATCGTAGTCCCTCACCCGCATGCTGCAAATATACTCCAACTGGGGCCCATGCATCATCGTTTCTACGTGGTGGTGCAAATTCCAAGGACTTGAGGATTGGGATCAAAGGGAAGGCGCGCAGCCAGGAGAGATGCATGTGGGCGCTGCCGGGATTGGATAGAACCAAGTGTTCGAGGCGAGAGGGAATGGAAGAGGAGCTCGCCATTTCTTGGTCGGACAAGAAAATACCACACACCCTCAGTGTGTCTAGGTTTGGGAAACACGACACGATCCTGGTGAGGGTGCCCACTGATATTTTATTTGGACGATGAAGGACCACGTCCAAATGCGAAAGGGAGCCGGATGCGTCGCCCCATGATCGCAGATGAGAATGAAGACTCTGTTTTGTGAGCCAATGCACATTATGACTGTGGCCTGTAATGAGGATCCGGATCCGGGTGAGGTTTGGGCACAACTGAGCGCGGGCCAGAAGCGCATTATCCAGAGGATTGCCATTATAACGCAGTTTCAAGTGTCGGATGAAGGATAGAATCGGAAGGGAAGGGATTCGACGAGATCTATGAAGGAGCGAAGGTTCTCTGTGGTCAGAAGCACGGTCGAGAAGAGGTGGTATCTGGTACGGTGGAGCCATCGTTTGCAGACGAGACTGCATATGCACATGTGCATCACATTTTCGTCTGCGAGCCAGTCGATGACCTGGTCAGCCAGTTCTTGTGCTAGCTCGTTCATAGTGAGGGCGGTTGGCAACTTGGATGAACGCTTGACGAGAGCGACAGACTCGGACGTGGCGACGAATCGACGATCACGAAACCACCTAGAGCCTGCCACGACATCCCAATTTGGGAACCCTGCCGTGACAGTCTGGGCCGAGACTTTAGCCGTACCTAGGACCCCTGATTTTCCCTTTCAAGGCTAGGTCCCGAACATCCCAAATGTTCCAATTTTCGTCCGGACACATTTTAGCCGACTTTGGGCGGTTTTTGTCCGGACAGCGCCTAGCCTTGCTGACTAATCTTTCCAAAAAGCGTAATTTCTAGCTCCCACGCACCTAAAAACGATCACATTTTCTTCCCCACGCGTTTCGTGCTGTTCTAACCGCATTGGACGTTGATTGGACGCATCTGCGGCCCATTTGCAGCGAAAAAAATTCCGCTTTCTACCCACTCCTTGCCAAAAAAAACTTCACCCGCCCGAATTTTGTCCGGACAGTACCTGGCATTTCGGCCCTCGAGCATCGATTTTTGTCCATTCAGGACCTAGGTTTGAGGTCCAAATCTCAATTTTTTTGTCTGACACCGGACCTGGCCTCCAAAGGGAAAATCAGGGGTCCTCCGTACCTCTGCACTATGCCAGCGATCTGCCAGCCAAGATGTTCATCGCTCGGCTATTTGCACCGCCACAAACCAAGTTCAATGGTCTATTTCAACCTCTGCGTCAGTCCTATCGGGATTTAGAGTATGCAGAACATCTTTACAGCTGTTTCCGAAAAGCTTTAGCTGTTCTTTTTTTTTTTGGCGGCGCTCAAGTTTTGAAGCGATGCCCATTTTTGGAAAGGCCTGGTCTAGACCTGTCAAGAAATATTATTGATTGTTGATCGCCGCAATTTTCGGCTCAGTTTCTTCACCGGCGCCGCGTGATAGCTTTTTGACAGGTCTGGACGAGGCCTTTACACAAATGGGCATCGCTATCAGTTCTCAAAACTTGAGTGTTGCCAAAACACAAAAAACTTTCTCAAGCTTTTCGGAAACAGCTGTAAATGCATCTAAATTCATGTCTCTCTCCAAGTTTGACGCAAAACGGTGAGGAATGGGCCAACAAGGCCGTTCAACAACCACGAAATCATAGCGCCGAGGTACGGCGGAAGTCTCGGTTACGGCCCAGACTGTTACGACAGGGTTCCTAAATTGGGATGTCGTGGCAGGCTGAGAACCGCCCGGCAAGTTTCGGCATCGTTTCGTGATCGTCGCTCTGTCTTCGCGTTTAGCGTTGAATCGAGGACAAATCGAGGACTAGCTGGTATATACAGTAGGTCAGCCAGAATAATACCAGGCAGAAAAGACCCACGATTCTGAAACTTCGCTTTACTGTTTCCTGCTTTTCATGTTCCAACTTCCAAATCATTGAGTTGAGAAACGGATCATTTAGTTCAACCGAACCGGCAACATGCGAGTCCGGAGTATCAAGTTGTAGCCATTTAAACCGAACCCGATGCAGAGATTAAGCGTTTAAGCTTAAGCTCGAGTAAACACTAGATTCATAAGTGCTGCCGTCGTCCAATCAGTGAGTCCCCAAAAATTTTAATACACGTGAAGCCGTTGTTCTATGCTTGCAGGGCGCAGAATTCACACAGAACGTCTTGAGCTCCACGGAGATAGACCAGGGAAAATACAAGAAGCGGTATATCGAAGGCTAGCTATCGCCAGGCACGCCCTCGCAGCGGATTTGCTGCAGAAAACAATTAAATTAGCCAAGTTCGCAATTCGAGATTCGCACGTACCATAAAATTCAACCAAGGATCCCGCGCGCGTTAGCGAGGGGTATGAAAAGCCTTGTATGTGGTGTAATTGCAGGGCCACCCGAGCTCTGCGAGTCTAGGTCTAAGACGAACCGCTTCACCGTGCAGAATTGCG